CTACATGTATTGTCCTAATTCTGCTTGCTTAGTTTTCAGGCCTCAAAAGAAATAGCAATTTCCAAATGTAGGCAGAAGCTGCTGCATGTAAGCACTGAAAATGTTGATTAACACACCGTCTTAGTCCATTCGGGCTGCTGTAACAAAACGCCACAGACTGGGTGGCTTAACCAGAACAAGGTTATGTCTCAGTTCTGGAGGCTGGGATGTCCGAGAACAGGGTGCCAGCATGGTCATTCTGAGGACAGCTGCCTTCTCACTGTGGTCTCACACAGCAGAGAGAGGAAGCCTGATATCTCTTCTTCTTATCAAGACACTAATCCCATCATGGGGCCCCACCCTCACGACCTCACCTAAGCTTAATTACCCCCACAAAGACCAGAGCTTCACCATATGGATTTTAGGCAGACATAAACATTAGGCATAACACACACTGAAAGCATAATTATAAAATTTTTATGAAAATGGTCCCAAATCATTATTAAAAATTAATCTTAAAAGTTGTCATCACAAGAAAAAAAATTTGTAACTATTCACAGTGATGGGCATTAACTAGACTTACTGTGGTGATCATTTTGCAGTATATACAAATATCTAATCATTATGTTGTACACGTGAAACTAATATGCTATATGTCAGTTACATCTCAATAAAAAAGTTAATCCAGGGGCCGGCCCCGTGGCACAAGCAGTTAAGTGTGCATGCTCCACTGCGGAGGCCTGGGGTTCGCCAGTTCCAATCCCGGGCAAGCACCAATGCACTGCTTGGCAGGCCATGCTGTGGCAGCATCTCATATAAAGTGGAGGAAGATGGGCATGGATGTTAGCCCAGGGCCGGTCTTCCTCGGCAAAAAAAAAGAGGAGGATTGGCAGATGTTAGCCCAGGGCTGATCTCCTCACATACACACAAAAAGTTAATCCAGATTTGTGAGGTTTAAAAAGGCAGAGTAGTGATTGAAACTTTAGAATGATTTCTACCCAAAATGGTTATAATTTTTGTAACATTGGCCTGGAAAGGGGCGACTTTTCAGTTGGCTTGAAATTAGCTCTCCAGGCTGATATCTCCAGAGATTCTCATTATGGAAGCATTACCCTAGTTCTTGCTACTGTGTTCATCGCTACCCAACAGGCACTTAATACTCTCTTTTTGGTGATGCTGCTCCTAGGCTCAAAATGGGAAGACATCCAAACTTCAGAGCCCAAGAAACACTAGTTTTTGTTCTTTTCTGATGGTTCAACTGAGGGAAGAGGTGGGGGGAAGACTATAGGGTAAAACTTTTAAAGCAGACAGGGGCTGAGGTGTTAGTTAGCCATCTAACTCAAACAGAGAGGAAAACCAAGACGTGTGGAAATTCAGGGACTAGAGCCAGGTCACAGAGCTGATCCCTCCCACAACAGCTGGAACTGGGTACTTGGGGCTCCCAGGCCGGTGATCTTTCTATTTCATGAGCCTCAGGGCAGCAGCGGTGACAGAAATGAAATGTTTTCTTTGCATACTTATGATAGATTGGGCTAAGAACAAAAACTTGAAGTTATGGGGATAGAGGGAATGCATGAACTGGCTCTTCCTTTTTGGAAGAGTATTATTTGCTATCTTCCTTGTGCTATCTACCCATTTCACCTGAGTAGTTCACACCCTAGAGTTCCGTCAGTGGTTAACTTATGAATGCGCATTTTAGACCAACCGCCGGCTTGAATACATTGCCTGAATTCTGCAAACAGCATGATATTCCCAAATTTGGGTTTACCTCCGGGGCCCTTGTTTTGGTTTTGGTTTTGGTTTTGGTTTGCTCTGCATTATGTATTTATCTGAGCAGTGGAGAATGGCATTCTAGAGTTTTTTCCCCTCATCACTGCAGGAGGGTTGTTGTGTCCCTCATTAGATTTATGCACAAATTTGCAGTGTCAGCATAGTTTAGACTTCCTTTAGTGCCATCAGAGAGAGTTAGTAAAGCAGTCTAGTTGCTTCGTGCCTCTGATTTGCTTTAGTTGAGAACAGTTTGTGATCTTCAGAGAAGCAAGGAGGATTTGAGCTATAAAAGGAAAAGAGGTCGTTCTTAGGTCCCTTAGAAAACAGGCCAATTTTTTCCTGTAAAACAGAATTTGGGGATGAATGTGTGAGGATTTGTAAGAGAAAATACCTGCATGTGTGTTTATGTGTGTGTGTGCACATATATAGACTTAGGTGTTTTTACTTTTCAAAGAAAATAAATAAACTTTATATATGTATATATGCATGAAATGTAAAAATATAAAATAAATATACATTGATTTTTCAGCTAATTCTGGAGTTTGTTTGCAAGTAAGTTTCAGGTCTATTAAATATTAGCACTCTCCATTCCTAATGCTCAAGTACCCACCGAGCATTTAATATAGTAATCAGCTGAGGTAAACTCACAACTCTGATAATGGTGCACATTTACGTTCTCCCTTTAGTGTCCTTCAGTCCCTGCTCCGAAGGCCAGAATGCTGTTTGACTGGATTGTCATCATTTTTCCTAGTTACTTCTCACCCAAAAGCAAACCTGGTGTCGGAGACATAAACCCACTAAGAAGTTGATTGGCATCAGTTACCCAGAGAGCAGGAGAGAGATGCTGTGAAGGGGAAAAAAGTGCAGAAACAGGAAACCTGGTAGACTGGAGAAAGAATGGGGTCTACCTCATCATCTAAGGAGCCCAGCACTACCCTGTGATGGCTGTTTGACTGTGGCAAGCTAGTCAACCATTTTAAGCCTCAGTTTACCTATAATACATATTTGCATTTTAACTAAACCTATATTAAAGATTGTTGTAATATTTAATTTGATAATGTATGTGAAACCGTCAGCTTAGCACCTAGACCACACCAAGCACTCTGTAAGTGTGCACATACAGAGACACCTTTTCAGCCTTTTCCACACATGGATGGATGCATGCACGGATGTACGCCTGGATGTAAGTATGCATGCATGAATATGTGCACACATGTGTATGCACAAGTGTAAGTATATATTCACACATGTGCCCACACATGTGCATGTGTGTGTGTGTGTGTACATGTGCATGCATGTATGCATGCCTAGATATAGGCATAGGACCTGGGCATCACTGAAGCTGTTAGGGATGTGAGTTTGAGGAGAGCCTTACAAATTGAGCAGAACAGAACTTTCATCACTTCTTATTTCCCCCCTGGCTAGCCTTGTCTTCAGGAAATTCATAACTTAATTTAGAGAGATATTGAAAACGTGCAAAAGGTAATTCAATAAGATCCCTTGATCTTTTGTTTTAATATGTATGCAAGAGTAATTAATGAGCTGGCACTTTTCTTAAGAAGGAGATGCAGAAATTTGTTCATTTATTCAATCAATAAATATATTTGGAGTGCCCACCATTTGCCAGGCACCAGGAAAACACAGTTGTATGTTCACATATGTGGGTGGGGGTATGCTTGTGTGAGAGAGTGTCTACACCAGTTTGTAACCCAATAAACCCAGTCCTCTAGAGTTATGTTGTTTTCTTACCTGTCTGTGGTTCAGATGTTCAGAATTTGAGGCCCAAGGACTATGGGACACAAGCTTTTCCAAAACTCTCTGAAATTGTAGCCTTATTTTGTACCATACTTTATGAGCATGGGATATTCAAATCGTGTCTGAGAACATTCAGAGCTTTCTTAAATTCTCAGAAGAACCATGAAAAAAGAGTTTTAGAAACACTTAAATCACTTTTCAATTCACCCTTCACTATATGGGAGAAATCAGAGTTCTATTTTTGGTAGATATATTTGTTCATGGACAGAAAACAATTATATTAACCAGAAGGATCCCATTCCTTAATCCTAAGAGACTTTTGATCCAGATAGGACCATTTATTTCATATAATATGCTGAACTTTGATGAACTCAAATATGACTGATGATTGCTTCCAACAGGTTTTACGTTACTTATTATGGTAAATAGTGGAAATAACTCTATAATAAAGTCCAAATAGATTTTATTTTAATAGTTATCTCAACACATTCATAGAACAGAATTTGCTTTTTTTTTTTACAGCTGAAGTCCGCTTTACACCACATCCAATCCTTTTCTATTCCAGTTACCAAGGTGTCATCACTATTCTAATGTTGGTATGTATTATTCCCACACGTGTGTGTGTGTGTGTGTGTATGCAAATCCTTTGATGATTTTTTTCTATTGATTTTTCTTTTGTGTCTTCATAAAATTTACATGGACATAATATATCCCAGAATTTACCTTTTGCATTCAATGCTGTGTTTTCAAGATTTATCCATGTTGATACTTATGGACCTAGTCCATTCATTTTGCCGTATAGTTTTGTATCCTATAAATACTCCACTATTAATTTACACATTCCATTATTGATGGTTGTTTCCAATTTTTTATGGTTGCCAACAATAAAGCAGTGACCATCCTTAAGGCAATTCTCTTTTTGCGTATGTATAAGTGTTTCTCTACATGTATGTCCAGAAGTTGAATTACTATGTAGTAGGGTACACACTTACTCCACTCTATAAAATATTGGCAGATTGCCTTCCATAGTGGTTGTACTAATTTACTTTCCCATCAGCAGAGTATGAGAGTTTCTTATCTTCACATCCTTGCCAATATTTAGCATTATCAGATTTTAAAATTTTGTCATTCTCATATATATGAAAAGCAGCCCAATTTTACATTTTGTATTTTCCTCTAGAGAGGTTAAGCATCTTTTCATGTGCTATTGGCAATTTAGGTTTCACTTCTCTGAATTGCCTACTCACATTCTTTGATGATTTTTTTTCATTGCATTTTTGGTTTTTTATTGTTGATTTATGAGTTCTCTATAATCTTTTTTTTATTGAGATATAATTGACCTACAGCATTGTATTCTTTTCAGGCGTACAATGTAATGATTTGAAGTATGTATATATTGCAAAATGATCACCACAATAAGTTTAGTTAATATCCACCACCACACATAGTTACAAAAAAACTTTTTTTTTCTTGTGATGAGAAATTTTAAAATCTACTCTCTTAGCAACTTTCAAATACACAACACAGTGTTGTTAACTGTAGTCACCGTGCTGTGCATTGTGTCCCAGGACTCATTTATTTTATAGCTGGAAGTGTGTCCCTTTTGACCTCCTTCACCCAGAATTTGCTTTTATTCATGTTTCTCCTTCTTAGGGTTTGAGAAAGAGTAGGATCGTCAAAGCTAATGATTTAAAATTTGCTTGAAAAAAAATGACCTTGTGCCAAATGAATTTAGATAATTAAATACAATTGTTTTTGCCCTCTTCTTTAGTTAGTCAGGGTCTGGCAGGTACACCTAACCATGTACCAAGTGTAGGAAGGGCGCTGGGAAAGCACAGGGCTGGTGCAGTAGCCCAGGACCAGCCACAGTGGGGAGCTGCTCCTGATGGTGCACAGCGGTGCCTATCCTTGGGCCCAATGGGGCAAGGAGAGGAAGCAGTTACCAGAACCCTGAGCAGGTGCCACCCACTGATAGGTGCTGAGCCTTCAGTAGAGGGACACAGCCAACTCGTGGTGACTGTGGGGAGAGAACTGGGGAGATTACTTCCCCAATTTCACTCTCTCCCACCCTCCAATCTCCTGCCGGTGATTTTCACTGGCTGAGCCCAACTAGAAACCAGAAGGGAAGATAGCAGATAATGCAGTCTACAGGGGCCAGGCTCTCAAGCAGAGCAGAATGGAGAAGGGTGGCCATTGCATCTGGAAGTCAAAAGGAAAATAGCCAGCATAGCTTTTGTTCTTAAGAGAGTTAATTCTGTATATTTGTATGTGAATATAATGTGAAAATACTAGCCTGGTAGACTTTCATCTGCTCTTTTCAGTTGTGTTCACCCTTAGCCATTCACCATCATGGCCCTGCTGACTGGGGACTGAGTTGTTGGGTCCCAGGAAGCAGATGCCAAGAAGAAGTTAAAAAAGCAAGAGATTTATTGTGGCTAGTGCTTATGAATGGCAAAGAGGAGAAGAAGGAGGCATTGACAGTGAGGGCCTTCAGACCGTGATGGAGGTCTGACATCTGTGAAATGAGAGAGGAGGGAAGGGGCACTGAGAAGGAAGAACCTCAGCCTGCAGTACAGCCCTGAGAAGGTCTCTCTGAGCCAACAAGGAGCCTTGGCCCAAAGATTGCCCATAGAATGGTTCCATGTTGGGAGGAAATGGCCAAGCCCTGGTACCACTATGCAGTCATTGCCTAGGGGCCACCCCCACAAGAGTTTCATGGCTGGAAAGCAGTGACAGACCTAAGGGAGTAAGCAGCTGGATCCTGTCAGCTAACCACATTCCTCCAGGCTGGGTAACCAGTCCTTTCTTGAAGGGGGATCTGAGTGGCGCACATCCATGTCTGCCACAGATACCGGGAACGTCACCTCAGGAGGAGAAAGCCGTGATACAGGGGAAGTCCTGGACAGACAGAAAAGGGAAAGAGTTTTCTGTCTCAGAGGGAAGGTCAGTGTGGAAAGAAGAGAAAAAGCAGGAAGCAGTGAGTGGTCAATAACCTGTGACATCTGGACTGAAATTTTGGGTGGGGCAAAGGGTTAAGTTGAGAAAACCCAAGACTGGAAACCCTGGCTGGAGAGTGTTTAGAGGGCAGCCCTGGGTTCACAGAGGGTGGCCACAGTTGAGTGACAATGGCACAATGGCTTGATTGAGTAGAAACAAGGCTTAAATCAGTCTCCAGAGCCTATCTGAGTTCTTGGGTAGCATGAGAAGGATTCAGAAGTCCTCCCCTACTTCTCAGCAAATATGGAGGGCAGCTGCTGGAGTTGGCTGTCGGGCCTGTGGGCAGTACCAGTGTGGTGGGGACAAAATACCTGCTAGCCAAGGTTAATATCTCCACTGCAGACCAAACTGGCAGTTAAAGCGAGAACCCAGGGAAACCTGTGGGGCTGGCCAGGGAGAACCGCTCAGGCTGCTTAACAAGAGGGCAAAGGTGTCCGTGAGCTGCAGACTTGGTCAGCGACACAAACCTGGGACCAGCAAAGATCTGGAAGGTCAAAGCCCCTCCTTCCTCTGCCAAGCACCCAAAACCCAAACCACCCACAGTCGCCATCTTGTGCAGGAGAAGCAGGAGGGTTAGAAACTGCCCTGACAGGAGTTGAACTTTGATTCAACTGAATATTTACCTGAAATGCAATTGTGTTAAAGTGGAAGATACTAAGACACTCAAGGATAAGATTAAGTTCTCTTGCCCTCACCTTATTACCGTTGACTGTCAACTTCCCAGAAGACCCCAGGAAAACATGTTGATGAAACAAAACTAAGTTTACTAGATCTACTGAAGTATGATCTTAGGAGTGTCTCTGAATGCCGACGTCAGGGTCTGCAAGGGGTGATTTTTAATGAAGGTTTTGCAAGATGAGGAGCACTTTGGGACTAGGCAGAGTCTATGATTGAACAGCTTGGGATTGGTGAGCCCCACAAGAGGAAGGACTTGAAGCGAATCTTGATGAGTAAGCTGCTGGTTTGGAAAGTAAACTATTTTAGTTGATTCACAATCTTATTTCTGAGGATCAAGTATTCCTAGAGCAAGCAGGTAAGTTATTTTTACTTGGTCTGAACGTGCTTAATACAGGGCCAGGAAAGAAGACTGGTGGTGTTTTAAGACACCAACAGAGAACTATTCTGGCTTCAGTTTTCACTACTCAAAGGGGTGGAACATTGTGAGAACAACCATATGAACTGAAAAAATAAAGACGCAATACGTTTTTTTTGTCTTTCTAATAATTGATACATTACTATTAACTAAAGTCCATACTTTATGTGGGTTTCCTTAGTTTTTACCTAATGTCCTTTTCCTGTTCAAGGATCCCATCCAGGATCCCACCACATTACATTTACTCATCCTGTCTCCTTAGGTTCCTCTTGGCTGTGATAGTTGCTCAGAATTGCCTAGTTTTTGATGACCTTTAGCAGAGTGCTGGTCAGCACATTTTGTCAAATGTCCCTCATTTGGGATTTGTCTAACATTTTAGTTACAGTTAGACTGGGGTTTTGAGTTTGCGGGTTAGACCACAGAGGTCTAGTGCTGTTCTCATCACATCACATCAAGGGAACATACTATCAAAATGACATCACTGATAATGTTAACCTTGATCACCTGGATGAGGTGGTGTCTGCTAGGTTTCTCTACTGTGAAGTTATTCTTCTTTCCCCTTTCCAAACTGTATTTTTGGCAGGCAGTCATTGTGTGCAGCTCACACATAAGGAGCGGGTTGTTTGCTCCATCTTCCTGAGGGCAGAGTATATACATAAACTATTTGGGATTTTTCTGCATGGGAGATTTATCTATTCTACTTCATTTATTGATTTATTTGATTATTTTTCTATCATTATAGACTCATGGATATTTATTTTGGACTTTGCGTTATAGTCTAATACTATTTTATTTATTTTCTTGCTCGAATTTTTCCAACTTTGGCCACTGGGAGCTCTGTCAGTGGGCTCCTGTGTCCCTTTGATATTCCTCCATCATTGGGTACTTCTCTTTTTTAAGCCTTCCTTACTTCCAGGCACTACAAGTGGCACCAGGCTCATCTTGTATATTCTCTGCCCCAGTCTAAGAATCGGCCATTTTTCCCAGGAGTGCTGATTCCTTTTATTGGAGAATGGTATTAGAAACCAAGACCTGGGTGCTAGGTGTGTTCAAACTACTGGGGTGTCATTGCTTCTAGTGGCATTTCTTCCTTACATCTGAGTACTACATCCATGACCCTTGTACCTGTGAATCTGCTTCAAACCTTCCCATAACAGTGTCACCTGGGAAGTCATAGAAGTCAGCCATGGAGAGATGAATGTGAAAACCTGGTCTTTCATAGTGAAGATATTCTACAGGAGAGGAATAGTTTAATCAGAAGGAATCTTCTGTGAACTGCAGCTCCAGAAAGTTAACAATGGCCTACATGTGTTACATACGGAAAGCCACAGAGGAGTTTTCACTTTTTCAGTGCTAAGTCTGAGATTTAAACAAGGTAAATTAGAAATCCGAGAGACGAAGGCCCCATCTTGATGTGACGGATGACTGCTCGCAACACTGTGATGAATGAGCCTGTAAACCAAACACATCAATACCTGATGGGCGTGAGAAGGACAAGGCTTGTTACCTTCAACGAGGTTAAACCCTTTCTCTCAGGCGTCATGGGAAACCAGGCTCCATAGTTACAGTTTGATCCCAAGACAAAGAAATAAAGGGCAACGATTGAAGGCAATTCTTTACCACCAAATAGAGATGTGACAAATTTGTCTATTCTTTGCTGACAATATTTTGCTTCTTCTGCAAAACCAAGATTAAAATGAAAGAAAAAAGAAAAAGAAGAAAGACTAAGCTTTTAAAAGTTTCTTATTTCAATTCTCTGGTTGTTTCTGTTTGTTCATGGAGATATTCTCCACAGCTGTTTTGAATCTCATAAGATACTGTGCCATAAAAAATTTAAAAGGACAAAAGAAAGCAACAAAATAACATTAGCAAAGAGAGCTACGTTTGACCCTGGTGAAGACTTGGGTTTCAACTAAAGGAAGTGGGATTTGATGAGACATTATCTATAAAGAAAAAAAATGTGTGCAATTGAAATCCCTTCTGCTATTAAGTTCTAATATTTTGTGATTCTACCAACGAGTGTATATTCACCCTGGGTTTTTGAGGGCCTACTGTTCCAGGGGCTTTGAGAGCAAAGATGCCTCAGGTAATTTCTTGTACACAGTGTCATGTAACCTGCTTCATGAGCCACAGTTGACTGGGCCACGACTCAGCTACGATCCAATGACACCCAACTGGATCCTGGCACTGATCAAGGGACACTGTTGTCTGTGAGTTGGTTGATGAGTTGGCCTGATATGAAAACCTGGGAAAATAGTGGTACTCCATCCTGGATTGTGACTAATCAATTAATTAATTCTCTCTTCCAGGAGATGAGATGGGTCCCCCAGATCGTCAGAGCTCCTCTAACAACCTGACCAGTGGTCAAAAGTGTTTCTGTCTCCATGAGGCCTAGTTTTGTGGGTGCTGGGGCAGTTTCTTGTGTTTCCTACCTTCCTGGAGAGCCCTAGCGATAAAGATGCTCGTCTGTGTTTATGTAAGCAAGTCTTGGCTCCTTGCAATTTAAAGAGTCTATTCTGTTAGACTCATTAAAAGGACCCAAGAGTATGTATTGTGGGTTCCTTGAGGGTGGGTATCAAGTCTTATCTTTATATCCTAAATGAGTGCATTCAGTCAGTGCTCAATATATGATTAGTAAAAGCGTGGATGAATGAATAAATGGCATAACAAGACCCAAAGAGATTAAGATTAAGAAGGCTAATGAGAACTGAAACCAACATAATATCTTGACCCTGTATTAAACAATACTAAACTTAGTCATTATTTCCAGCCCTTTTGTTAAATAACACTGAGACCGAGCTAAAGTGGCTTAGCTGCTTGTTCCAGGAATACTCGTTTCTGGAAGATAAGACCATAAACCAACAGAACAATTTATTATCAAGACCAACAGCTTCCTTAGCAAGACTCTCTTCAAGATCCTTGCCTTGCTGTGCCCACTAAACCAAAACTTTCT